TAAACCATACCACTCAAGGTCATATGATATGATCCATAAATTTACATGAACAAATTGGAAGATTTATATAACTATCTTAGTATAGAAACTAATAATGTTTCCAATTATTGCTTCGAATTTCCCAGGACGTATTTTCATTAGGGGCAATTACAAAAATGCCATTTTTTKTKTKYWTATTTGCAAGAATGCCACTTAGGGTTGCCCATTTACAAAAATGCCACTAATTATAGATTTATAAAGCTTATATCTTAAAATTCYAAACCCTAAMAAATGTTTKGACCCCTAAAACCCCCTAAACCCTCATAACTAAACGCTAATAGAACATAATTAACCCAAACATAAATGATATAAAGAAAAATAATTTTGAAAAAGTGGCATTTTTGTAAAGATTTCAAAAGTGTGGCATTATTGTAAAGTGGCACATGAAAAGTGGCATTTTTTTAAATTTCTCTTTCCATTAGGCTCTTCGAAGTAATAATACCACCAATATACTAATATATTAGTATAGAGTAATCTTTTTGAAAACTGAATGGTATAATTTTGTTTTTTTTAACATATGATTCATTCATTTAAATCATAGGTAGATGTTGATTAATTCCAAATACATCAATAATGAGAAAAACCAAATACACATCCACAATTACATAACCAAACACAATAGAAAACGATGAAGAATTGAATTTCCACGATGCTTTGGATACCAAAGTCTTACTCGCCATTAACCCATTTCTTTTATCCTCTAGATCAATCCCAAAAATATGAAATCATCGTTCTCGGCTATCATCTCATGGATGAAACTCCATAGTCTTTTAAAGTTATTGATGCTATTTAATATCTTCTCTCGCATTTATTTTTCAATTCTCTATGTATATGCTATAGTTGGATTCTAAATTCGCTGGTCAAGACACAATATCAATCTTCAGAATTTACACCAAATCCCTTCCATTGATCGGGATTGGGGATATCGGACTTCATGAAAAGTTGAAAGGCTCTTCACGGAGATAATAGACTTGTCCTGGATGAGATCATAACACAAACACACCCTGATGACGAACCATGAATGAATCGTATCCAAAATTAGAGGAAACCAAACGAAAAGTCTCTTAATGAGACATCATAAACAATTTGTTTTGAAAGGTGTGTGATAATACCTCTTGATTTCATATCGGCATACAGCTCCTTGTGAAACAGAAACTGCATCAATAGATTTAAAAGATGATAGCCAGTTTCTTTCGATCGATGTTATCCCGAACACTGTCATCATCGTGATCATCAACCGTAAGAAGTTGGATCAAAAATTTATGGACTGAGAAACTTTGACATGCATCGCAATTATTGAAGTAAAAGAAACAAATTAAAAAATGAGAAAGCTATCGGCAAACGCCGGGGCGGTGAGAATAAAAAAAAAAAATATTGTTTGTGTAATCGCCTTTTGTATCGTCTGAAAAAAAAAAAGGGTCGTGTAATCAGAAATATTTTGTCTTTTACATAGCATTATTAATGTATGAGTTTTTTTCCCAACCGAATATGCATGTATAAATTTTTTGGTCATCTTAAAATTTTTCAAGTTTTAGTGTTGTCGTCTCGACACTTTTTAAATATGGGCCAGGCTCAGTACTTTAGAGCCCAAAATTCTTATGCGAGCCCGAATCATCTTAAGAGCCAACGATCTCAGTTTCAAAATTTAGAAATCAACGGTGGCGATTTCGTGAGCCAAGAGAGAGAGAAATCGCCGACTGTTCTTCTTCCCAATTCCCAATCAGAAAAATGTCCGTCGAGGAAGACGCCACCGTTCGGGAGCCCTTAGATCTGATTCGGTTAAGCATCGAAGAGAGAATCTACGTCAATCTCCGATCCGACCGTGAACTCCGCGGCAAGCTTCACGTACGTTTCGTTGATTTTACCGAAAAAAGGCTTCTTCTTGTTTTCGATTTCGACGAATTTAGAGAGAATCTTGTTGAATTTCCCATTTTGTTCTTTGTTTCTTTTGCAGGCTTTTGATCAGCATTTGAATATGATTCTGGGTGATGTTGAAGAGGTTATTACGACTATTGAAATCGACGACGAGACTTACGAAGAGATTGTTCGGGTATGTGATATTTTTTCTAAACTCGAACAAAGATTTATTGATTTACTAAATTAAGGTTTACTAAATTAAGGTTTCAAGAGTTTCAGCTTTCACAATTTCAGAATTTCTATTGACTTGGTTTGAGCTAAAGGCTGATCTTGAGTGACTCATATAGAAGTTTGCATAGAGTGTTCGTTAGCTTATCGAGTAAATTTGTTTAATTGCTCAAGCTTTGTTTAGCTTAGGATTCGACAATATTACTATGTTCTTTCTCCGATTCGGGAACGAGATAATGTGTCTAATTATAACTCTGTACAATCATATCTCCTTCTTGCTGATGGAAATTTGGTTTCGCTAGACAACGAAGCGAACGATTCCGTTTCTATTTGTGAGAGGAGATGGGGTGACATTGGTGTCTCCGCCGTTGAGGACGACTTGAGTCGCAATGATTTTGACTCTTTGGCTCTGAACTAAGTAAGAACACTTTTTTCTCCCTGATTAGTGATTACTTAGCTTTTCATTTGTAACTGTGTGTTTTGTCAAACATTTAAACCGAATTTAGCGAGTACATTCAATGTAGCTCAGTTCCGTCTTTTCGACTTTCTTACCGTTTATGTTCAGTTTTAGATATGTAATCTCGGAAACGAATTTTGAGTATGTCAATTCATCTAAACAATATGATCTTCTAAAATCAAACATATTTTGAGAATTCAAAGAGATGTAATTGTGAACATGCGAAATTCACAGCAATAAAAAGAATACATTCGATTAGAATGAAGAGAGTAGAGTGAGATCAAACGTTTGGAAGTTTAACAAAGATCTAAAGACCGGATTGTAAGAGAATACTTCTCATAATCATTGTCACTCTTCGAAAATGTAAAGAAGATATAGAACGAAATTTTCTTTTTTTGTTTCTTTATTATTGAGGGGGAAAAAAAGAAAAACCCCTCATATTTTAGACAAAATTCGAAAACAACACCAAACTTATCATCGTTAAACAACAAACGGAGTCGTTTTGGCATTCGATCCCTTATAAATATGCGACCAAACGAAACAAATTTCGAAACCCTAATATCGTCTGGAACGAAGAAAGACT